AGGTGTTGCACCCAGCCTCTCTCAGAGACAGGAAAGTCCCCTCCCTGCCCAAAAAGGGGAGACTGTCCCCCCCAGCCCCACACCACGGGCATCGCCGCCAAGCCCTTCGAGCACCCAGCGAGCATCCCCAGCTCTGCCCTCTTTGCTGCCCAGCTCTCCGCCGGCCTCACGCCAGTGGGACTCGGAGACTTGAAGGAAAAAGCAGGATTTCCAGCCAGGTGAACTTTTCCCGTCTGCCGGAGCCATAAACCCGCGGCCCCATCACGCGACTTGGGATTTTCCAGCTCCCCAGCTAACGCCGTAAACTGGCCGAATAACCTTATCTGCCTCAGCCTACGCCTTCTAGAGCGGATGGAGAACCAGCCCACCCTCCCGGCCGCCGCACGCAGGGTTCAAGCATCCCCAAGCAGCCCAGGACCACCCCCAGCCCAATGGCCAAGCCCCGCATCGCACAGGAGGTGGCTGAAAAGGCGCCCCAGGGCCGCTTCCACACTGCTCAGCCTCAGAAAACGTCCCACGAGCAGGCGTGGGGCAGCGGGGAGGTTTGCTCAGCAGCTCTACAGAACAAGCTGAGACAACCCCTGAGCACGGGCCCCTGCCTGGGGAGCAAAGCGCTGACTCAGGCGTCCTTTCACGCCCCAGGGTGCCACTGCTCGACCACAAAATGGCCTCTCTGGGCTTGAACGTTCAGCTCTGCACTTCGAAGTGTCCGCACATCACGCGCACGGGGATGTCTCCAGCCACTCCAGCACATCCCGTAGCCCAGAGGGTTTGCTTGCCGTCCTGGCAAGGCACATCAGCTGCCAACGCCTGAGCTGTTCTGTCTCAGAGACGAGCAAAAAGCCAGCTGTTTTGGTGCTAGGCTCGGCTTGGCAAACTAAACCGGCTCCCGGAGCTCAGCCGGACCCTGGGGACAGCGCAGGGGCTGTATGATCTGCCCAGGGAGGGGCGAGCAGGGAGAAGATGGCTCCTTCCAAGCACAGCCAAGCTGCTAGGGCAGCCAGCCCTCTCCTCAAACCACGCTCTGAGCGGCAGCCCTGCTGTCCATGGGGTGGGGCTCAGCCTTCGATTTCATCCCCCATCCCCTGGTACCCCCAAGGAAGCCTTAAACCCAGCCCGTAAATCTCAGTGCGGGCTGAAAACCTCGTGCTCTCCGCTGTCTGCCTCCCGACCGGCCGAGCAGCTTTCCCTCCACAGGGCTCCTGCCCGGAGGAGCGGCCGTGCCGCTCCAAGGAACCATGTGATGCTTTGGAAGCTCCTCCGCATTCTTCTGCTGCTCCAAGCCACCGTCAGGAGGTCGGCAGCTGAATGTGAATATTTGCTTCTTGCTTAAGGGAGCCGTCGAATCCGGGACGGCCAGGCGCCAGCTAGGGCAGATGGCTCCCGATTAGCGGGGAGGCTGGAAGGTCTCGGGTCTGCTCATCAGGGTGAGAGGCAACCCCGAGCAGCGGCTGATGCTCCGGCCTCCGTCAGCGACCTTTGAGTGCAAACGTGCCTGGCTCGAGAGGAGAAGGCAGCGCTTTGAATTCGGAGTTTTGAAGATGGAACAACTTTGCTCCCTTCCAGCCCAAAAAAAGTCACGAGCGACAGTGCAAGAGACCGACCCCCAAAACGAAACCCTCATCTGCTGCAACGCAGAAAAACGATGCCAAGCCAAAAGAATCCTTGGAAGAGACCATGGTTTGCAGCCCCTCCAGTTCCTCAAGGGGACAGGGGTGGAAAGCGTGAGACTCTGGGTGATTCGTACCGCTGGAGCCCCCTTGGCACATCCCTTCAAAGAGGGGCCCTCGCCCAGGCGTTCATGAACCATCTAAGCAGCTTTGAAGAACCTTGGAGAACCTTTTCTGTGATGCTTCCCTTCTCCTCCTGCTGGGGCTCAGCCCGGCGTGTAAGTTTTGCCGCTGCTGTAGGCTCTGCCTCCGTGAGGTCCCCTTCGGTGGTGGCATGGACGAGGTGTCACACCACGCTCTGACCTAGTGAGGCCGTGTTGGATCCCACCGGAGAAGGCAGCAGACCAAGAAGGACACCTCAAGGGCACCTCTTGGATGAACCAGCAGCACTGGAGATGGACCATGTGCTAGTACTGGGTTATCCCCCAGGCCGGTGGTCCCAGGCAAGGGAGAAGAAACCATCTGGGTTCTTCCTTACGAATGACAGCTCTTGGAGCTGCTTGCCTGTTATTTCCAATGCAGTTTGTGTTTCCACTTAGCTCCACCCTGTCTTGTCTGGCAAACTATCTCGAGATACCCAGCTTGGGACTGGGGTCACCGATGGTGAGACCACCCATCACAGCCCCCGTCCCCACCCGCGAGGGCTGTGGGTGCTTCTCCCACCCCTTTGCCCGTGGTGGGCAGGCACCGGAGCAGATCTGCATGTCTCGGGGACCACAGATCCCTACAGAGCCAGAGGCGGTCTCACCACCACGGGTTCCTGCAGAGATCGCTGCTCAAACCACACTCCCGTCCTCAAGCACATGACATGCCACAACCTCTGCCTCCAGGACTCTGAGGACATATCAGGAGAGAGGCTAAAGTCCTTCCAGAGTCAGCAGAAAGCCTGAGCTGGGTTAGAAAACAAACTACCTTTAACCGTAGACCCTCTGCCCGACCTCATGGACCTCCAAACTTGCCTGCTAGCAACATAACAGGGAAAATCGCTGCGCTGTGCTTTCATAAAAACCCTGTCCCCCGTTTCTGTTTCCCCTGAGCACTCATCCTTTGGCTGGAAATCATTCTCTAATCTTAACAGGTCCATTTTCCTGCTCCGCTTCGCCATTCCCGGGCCGGCTGGTAGCAGAAAGGGCAGCCGTGGTCCTGGAGGAGAGCGGAAGACGACGGGCACGAAGGGAGCAAAGGGCTCATGCCAGCGGTGGGGGACGATCGCGCATTAACACACACCGTCCTGGTCTCTCCAGCCCCCCCTTCGTGCTCTCCAGCCCAGGATGAAACATCGCCAGTATCTCCCAAACCAAGCACGAGGCTGGCTTCTCACCCCGCTGTGTGAAACAGCTGAGCTGGCTTGTGGACAGGGGAGGGATGTAATGTGGGAACGCGCATACGGCTTCAATTTGGAAAGCAGCTAAAAATAGCACCGCGAGGCTCCCACGTTCGCTGGGTCTCTCCGGCAAGAGATCAATCTTTTCCAGAGAGCCCTCCAAAAATTTTCCTCCTCCTTTCCCATCTTGCTTTTTCTGGAGGCAGCAGAGAGGTAGCTAATGCCAGCCCTTCAACCGCCATCAGTAGGTTTCAGAGTTAATCGCCAGTACCTGAAGGCATGCCTCACCCCTCCCACAACCACCGCTTTGGCTCCAGACCTGCATCTACCCCACGTGAGGCACAATGTGACTTGACAAAGCACAGAGTCCATTTTTTTGTTTCCTTTTTTTTTTCTTTGCTTCACTGGATTTTTTGGGGCATGAGTCATGGTAAAAAGCCCCGGCCTGCTGAGCCGCTGTGAGCCGGTCCCGCTGCACGGCCCCGCCGGCCAAGGCTCAGCCAGCCAGTGCCGGAGGGAAATAAAATTGAGGTGGCTGTGATACAGGAGAGCTTTTAAACGGGACCCTGCCCAGGCTCACCGCTGCTCTAATTGCCCCTAACGAGGAGCAGGGCTGAACAAATTTGGGGCTGTGCCGACTGGGGGGCAGAGAGCGGACGCTACAAGTGGGGTGTTTTCTCTGTCTTATTCTTAGATCCCCGTATGATTAAACCTGACATTTCCAGACTCCTATCAGGAGCAAAAGAACATATGCTCAGCTAGACTTTTTCTGGGGGAAATGTAACGTATTACGTTAAAATTTAACGCAAGTGGGGGTAAAACCTCTGAAATCCTTGCGCTGCAGCCCAAACAGCGGCTGCAACCCGGCCCTGCCCACGTTCCATCTCATTTTCGCGATATGCCTCGCTTTGCCTCGACGTTCATCGCCCACGGGATGAACCCAGCGGCAACTTTTCGGCACCCTCTCAGGCTGCCCAAGGCTTGGGCACAAACTGCTGCCCGAGCGGGCACAACTCCACGCCTAGCTTGGCTGAACGGATTCTGAGAGCTCAGCACACTTTGTTTTCCAGTCGTGGTGACGGGACCTCCATCAGTCCCTCACGCACCCCTCCGCCCTCGGAGAGGCGGCTCTCTCCTCCCACGGGAGCATGGTTTGGGTTTCCCGGTCTTCCCATGTTAATTCTGATGCCACCTCCCTGAAAGCAAGGGAGGAAAACGCAGGGTCCTGCCCTCTCCTCCCACCAACCTCCTCACCGATTTCTCCGCCTCACCTCGACCGTTAAAGCCCGTTATTGCCCAGTGCGCTGAGCAATTGGTGTCCACTGCCCCAGATTTCATCGCATTAAGCATGATGCCCCACCAGCTGCCACGACGCTTGGCTTCCCAGCCTCCATCTCTGGCTCTTCATAAAGCCAAAGCAAAACCTACCAACGCCGAGCATCGAAACACGTGGCTCTGGGGCACAAGGCTTTCGCCGGGCGAGCATCTCGCCGAGCCGGGTGGAGAGACTCACTCGACTTGGCACCCCGAGCCCAAGCCCGTCTGCGTGCTCCGGCTGGTCTAGCTGTTTCCCAATGAAACAGGCTCCGACAACGCTCTGTAACAAGGAGCTACTTTGCCTCTGGGAACGGGAGCGAGAAATACGGTGCCTGGACACGCGAAAGGCAAGCCCCGTTTGCTCTGAAACCGTCTGCCGGCGAGCACGGGAGGCTTTAGAGATGGTTTTGGCTCTGAGGGAGCTCGGTGCTCGGGCTGCTCGACCCCGTCGTCCCCGTCCCCCCCCCA